TAGTCCGTTAACCCTCAATATTATAGTATAGAGGGTTATTGAGCAGATCTATTACCTGAATAAGTAATGGATACTTTATGTAAGCCACTGATCATAACAACTGATGAGGACAGTTACAACTAGAAATGGGCATTTTTGGGGCTCATCTATTTATATAAAAATAAATTTCCGTTATGTAGTATCGCTTTACTCGAGAACAGCTGAAACCGATTTGTCTAATTTTGGTCTTGTATGACTTGTGGAAGTCCAGGGTAGGTTTAAAAGGCAAAAAAAACTAATTGCAATATGAAGTTTGCCGAGTCAGCTAGTATGTGATAAATACTAAGTATTGATCTGGAAAAAAGGTCATGTCTAGTTACTAGTGTGTTGCCAGCTTTAACTCGTCGAATACCGTCATTATAGACACAATTATAGAACAATAGGTTGCGGTCACCGGTGACCGCTCGGTGTTTGACAGTTTAAACATGTTACAGAGACCATAAGAAAAAGTACTGTCTACAATGTACAGAATTAAATATCATATAGTCACAAAACAGAAACCCATTGCTAATTAACCTACAAACACATTTTCTTTACACAAAATCAGTTTTAATTACAACAAATGGCCTTGATCAGTCCTTATTTTATGGCAGATCAGCCATCTTAATTGATTCCAGTCACATAAACACATACATGAACATTAATTACTACAATTGACTATGGAACATTTGCATAATACCTTATAGAACTGTCATCCCATAATTAAAAACAATTAACACTTAAATCCCTTTGTTTTCTGATGTAAGTGATATTTTTAGTGTTATGGACATGAAAACAAAATGGAAGATTTTTGTAAAACACAATTGTCCAAATTAACAAAATGTGCCATGACTATGGAGTGTTTATTTTTAGTAATCAATACAACAACAGCTTAACTTGTTCGCAACTGTCAATATAAAGTCTAATATTAACCTGTCCAGTATAAAGCTCCCTTATCTGTACTCAACATACGGAAATATCTTGTCCTAAACAATATATATTTGGAGTTCAGAAAATATGTTAGGTACTTCAAGCATATTACTATTTAATCAATTCAATAATTGCACAAACAAAATGTTACATCATAACTACAATAAAATACACTAATAAACTGCGCACAAGAGCTGTAGAGAAAAATCTACAATCTACGTTTAACCCTTAACTATCCAGAATGCTTTTGTGACGTAACTGACCAGTAGTGTCAAACAGACACATTTTAAAAATGTAAGGTATGATGAAAGAAAAGAAAGATATTTTGAATGAAAAAGACAGTATAATGTATTTCAGTAATGTGTATTTACACTTATTTACTTATAGATATTACAATTATTTTTTTTTTTCAGAATATTCAGTGCATGTATTGCGTTTGCATTCAGCACAACACTGTTTAGAAGCCCTTGATAATTTTGAAGGGAAAATATAACAAAACTTCTTCCTTTTCCCATTGTCGCTTGATATATTGGATTGCCAAAGATAGGGCACCAGTATTCTCTAAAATCTACACCTCCCTGTTTAGTGACGCTTATAGTCAATAAAAGACCTCGGAGTACTTGCATTTCGATTTTATATCTGTTGATTTCCATCGATTTTGTAAAATTCTAAGCCCTTCAGTATTGGTATATTTTACTATTATTTGTAATACGTGTTCGTCGAAAAAAAGGCTGAAACTGTCTATCGGATCTATAATAGTTTGCACCGGAGTAGGAAGAATCACCTTATGGATACCACCGCGAATTATGTTGTGTCGAGGCGTTCGGTTTTGCCTGTTAGGTTCTGATTTCCAAATTGTTATATTTTCCTTTATAAGTGTAAATTGAGACGTATTCTTGTAATCATCATCCCTGTTATTCCATAATTGTTCATCATCGTTTTCAGATGCTGGTTCTGTGTATATTACTTTCACTATCAGAACAGCTGTCAACAGCAAAATTCTCATCATCACTATTGCACTCATGGACAAAAATGTTTTCATCGTCACTTTCAACAAGGGCACGCTGAATTTCACTTTGTATTAGTTGCCGTTTAGCGATATCATTCAATAAAAACGAATTAGAACATGACTACATTTCGAGAAGAGTTTTTGATTACTGATACGTGATACGATTACAAAAACTATGATTATAACACAAACAAAGGTCTAGCAACCGCTATTGCCCACCCGACACCATAATATCATAAGTAAATGTAAATAAAAACAATCTACCTTCACACTTGAATCAAATAAAATGATATTGTGTCTGTTGGACACTTCTGGGTTGATGAAGTACTATTTTCATTTATTGACCAAAAATAATAAATTATTCACGTTACAAATATTTTCATTGCACATTTAGATTCGTAAAACATTGACGATAAATTAGATAAAAGGCCGATTCATAAAAATAAAAACTTTAGTTTTTATGAAAATATAAACGCAAAATTGTGTCCGCGAGACACTTGTGGGTTGTTAAGGGTTAAAAGAACTATATCATATTCCAATGATTTTTATGTAAATGAGTTTGTACACTGAATGAGGGCACATTTTTAACTTATCATAATCTAAACTTCTTTTTCCCTGTCTACCCATGAACAATGAACAAGGAAAGAGTTGCTTTGTAGGAATATTTGAATAAATCTAACTCATTTCAGACAGTGACGTAAATTAATGTATTTCATTTTATTTATTTACTAACAGACGGTTTCTTATCTGAGAATATATTCAGGTTCGATTTTTCAATCATCGGTTGATTCCCAACTGTAGAATAAAAGACATTTTACAGTTTATAGTATGGAAGATTTGTCAAATATTCAAAGTTATTCTTCAGTTCAAATTTGAGTTTGGTTATAAGTTCCACACAAAATGTGGCAAGACCCTAAATGCAAATCTATGAAATAGGCTACTGAGAAAGGCTAAATGCTACAATTAAACTATCAATACTGAATTTGAAAACTATGAAGTATTTCAATGTAACGTGATAGCTTTTCCACAAAACTAGCACACGCTTAAGGAGAATAGACCCAAAAATATGTTTAGGCAGAGAAGAACTTGGGCATCCCCAAAGGAAAACAAGGAAATAAGAATGAATGGTTAGACAATGAAGGTCCAGTAATTACATTACTAAAGAGAAAGATTAATATAAAACCAATCTTATAGCAAGTAATATTGAGTGCAAAATAGGTGGTCACAACTAAACTAGTCATACAATACATAACAAGAGTATGAAAAATTTGTATGACTATGCTTTGAATTAGTAATCAGAATCACAGGTTTTTCATATTGACAAAACTATGTTTAGTACCTATCTAATCATTGAGGAAAGGTCACAAATACTTTGTTTTTTAATTATTATTATGGAGTTGGCAGTGATTTGAAGTCATAGACTTCAAATCACTGCTCTCAAAGACATCTCATATAGTAGACTTGAAGTCAAGTCTTCAAGTCTACTATATGAGATGAATATGTCAAGTTTATGTGGTTAAGATACAGATATCTATTACCTATCATAGTTATTTATCTATTTATCTATCTTGTTTAAAATCATAATTATCTAAATGTCTAGAGTAGTCATTTTACTACTCTCTGTAACTGTCAATTACTGCGAGGACACCGGTGACCGCAACCTATTGTTCTTTAATTTTATCTATAATGATGGTACTCAAAGAGTTAACATTAGGTTGCTGGTAGTTTTATTGTCACATAATTATGACATTGTTAAACAGGCTCCTAAAGAAATGCTAACTTTTAGGATATTTAGAATATGTTAAGAAGGAAGCCAGTAAAACCCACTCTTTTTTAACTCATCAGCCAACTAAATTCATTGTGATTTCAACGAATATTCTACATCATCTATTGCCATGAACTAGGCAGGAAGATATAATTAAATGTAACCTCAAACTAGACATAAAATCCGATCTACAGATTTTTTAAAATAGACTAAACATTTGTCATGTTCATCATAAAATCACCGGTCAAAATCCATAAAATTAATTAAAGAAAATTTTCAATTGACCTCCTTAGAGATTTTGTCATTCTGCCAATGATTTCTTTGCCTTTGTTAGTGAGCTTAAAAATCAATGAGAAACATCTATAGTTCACCATAAAAAACCTTGTCTAATGTTTCTATATGTACATTATACTAAGATAGTCAGTCACAGATTCATAATTAATGCTTTATTATGGGTACAAGCACAAAGGTTATCATACAGATAATGATTCTGCAAAACTTCAATTTGTAGGTTATTTTCATATTTTGTTGACAAAATTGTGTTTGCACTTCATGTATTTCTAAAATGCTGTTGCAAATTAATATTACACACAAGAGCTATGACCTCTAGTTGTTTTTTCAACAATAAATGTTAATATCTCCATCTCTTTCCCACACAGCTGTTCAAACTCAAGTAGAAAAAGACATTTGACTTGAAATAAATTTAAATAATGTTCCCATGATACATTCGAGGGTAGCATAGTAACATGAGAAACTTTACGTTAAATAGAATCCGCGTAACAACAGAATTATTTAACAACAAGTCAATTGTTGATAAAATCTTAAGAATTACTGATTAGTTTAATTTTTTTTTACTACATACGTAAGACATAAATACGCTTACCTGAATTTAACTTCATTGGAACAACGTATATTCTTGATTATAAACGACTCTTCAGGCGTTAAACAACGCCTCTAAATACTGTTACAACGAAATTGTTCTACGACTTCGCTAAATACACAACGGCGATGAATTGTAATCATCTGTTCTCGCAAACATTTCTTGTCGCCCAAATTTTTATGTAACAGCTACGTTTTTTGATCGAATGCAGACGCCGAAAGACCGTTGCGAGAACTTCCTCACATCTACAACTCTAGCAATAGTGAATTCAGAGAGCAAAAGGTTAAAACTATCGGCGTAAGTAATGATAACCAAACATTAATCCAAACAAGCTATCGTCACAGGATGTAAACACTAAATACTAAAAACCAAACTAATGACAATAACATTGCATTTACCGTCGGAGTTCGAACGATAAAACATCTTCGACTTATTGCGATTCCCAAATCCGATTTCGCCCTTGACTAGCGGGCGCAAAAAGTCACCACTTACCGGCCATGACAAAGCCCAGCACAAAAACTTTAAGAAGTTCAATAGTTTTAGTACACAATCACTTGAGTGTTTTGCTAAAACATCACACAAATATCCCGATTAAAACGGATTAAAATCATTTCAACATTACATCGGTAAAAAGTAATGGCGCTGAGAAATACATACAAATAATTACTGCAGAATTTAGTGTTGCCATACTGGCCTTCACAAAACCTACTAATAGCTTCTGCAAATAATCAACAGTCACGTCACGAGTCTTATGTTGCGTTGTAGTGTCGGTTATTATTGCTTTTTATAAGAATATCCCTGTGTGAATTTCCCAACAAATTATATTGACGTCAATTCGTTACACACTAATGAGACTAATATTAACAAATTAAAGTCATTTATAAGATTACCTGTATTTTGATAATACATATTACCATATCAACTTGGTAATATGTATTATCATTTTCACAAAAATATTTAATAGTAAACACACAGACCACCTTCAATATAGAGTCAACTCATTAAAATCATTCATTCAATATTGAGTCAACTCATTAAAATGAAAAATTTTAACACCTAATTTGTACTTAATTTATACTTATATAAATTATATTTAATAAAAATAGAAATCAAAATCTTCAGCAGTCGTAACTTACAGTTTAACTAACAAGACTGTAGAATTTTACGAAAGTAGCAACACCTTTACTCTAAATGTCAAAATGGACGTTAGGGAAAAAACAGTCATGAAAAAGCGCGCATTTCATTTGACTACTGTGCTGCCATCTTGTAGAAAAATATAGGATTAAACCCTGTTTCACCGACCCTTTTAACTTCTTATTTGATCAGATTTCGCTATGATTAGGATTTATAGTTATAGAATAATGTTATTTGGGTAAATACATGTATTTCTATATAACATATTTAGTTTCACAGATCTAAAAATAGTTATTTTTTATGGTTTATGTATGGAAATGTTCTTGTATCCGTTTTCCGGTTTTGAAAACTTGAAATAACGCTTGATAACGTTTGCCAAACAAGAATGTCAATGTCACAGTTTTTGAAATATTTTAGCTTTTGAGAAGCAGGACTGATTTCTTAATAACACTAAGTACCTACTATAAAAATGAGCGGGGAAGTAAAATTGTTTGATTCGGTAAGAGCATTTCTAAAGTAGACTTAGTTCGGTCATAAGCCCGTACGTATTGCGTATTGGATAGTGCCGTATTCTGCGCGACAAAATAATATTTGTAGTGGTAAACTTTTTTTACCTAGCGTGGCTTTTTGATTAGACTATTTCTAAGAAATTAGAGACAAATAAAGTTACTTTATTGAAGGGACCTACAAAATAAATGCTAACTTCACATTTTATCATGATTTTTACCAACACATTCTCTTTGTTAAAGTTTCTTTGTTTATATTTTAATGACTTCAACAAATCAGCTGGCTGCAAAAAATGCACACCTTTGCCGCGTCGACCATTTATGAGACGGGAAGAGACAGGTGACCGTCGACGAGTTCTCGCACCCTACTTTTTGTGTAGGGTCTGGATAGTGGATTTATCTACCTGAACAGATGTTGAATCCACTACTTTAAACTTATTAGAAAATCTGTACAACTTTAAATGAACTTTTTCTAAACAGTTTATTTAATATTGTGTTGTTTTTACTCAAGAAAGTAAGTCAACCTCACGCATTTTGTATTTAAAACAGGTAACTCATTATTTAGATACCTATACTTGATATCTTTACAAAGTACCTGAAAACACTTCCGTGTAAAAGGTACCTTATTGAAGTATAACTGTATAATAATAGATTTTGCAATTTTCTCACATACAATTTCTGTTTGTTGTACTATTTTATGATTGCTCGGATCTTCAATAGATGGCGTTTCTTGTCTTATCGCACATCGTTATTATAGGTGTCTTCGCTAGTTAATCCCTCTTTATTCTTCGTAAATATTTATCGCCGTCTGGTTACCTATTTTAGGATCCCATAAGTGTCCCTAGTCCCTTTAAGTTATAGCAAATTTCTTCGAGGTTTTGGAAAATATTTTACTTGTATTACCGTAAAATGAATAGAGACAGAAGAATAGATATTGGGAAATTCTTCATGGTATCGATTCACCCCTCTTCTGTCCCTATTCACCTCTCGATCCCCATTCACCCCATTTTACCGTTACTTAAAACTTAGATTTTGATATTATTTGTTTTCCAATTACCATTTTTGTTGCCGTGGTCAAAAATTATGCTTAATTTTTGAAGACTGTTCTGGCGGGCCTCGGCGAATAACCGCCGTTTGTTCTTGGGAGATGGCTGCGTCGCTAAAGGTGATACTACCATCGTGGTGGTCGCCATCATCTTGTTATACCACCATTACACTGATATCTGAAACAAAAAAATGGGAGATTAGTTGCTGGTGCTAAAAAAGAGCATATTCTGGATATATTTTGGTTATTTCCGTCTTTGATTGCACAATATAGCAGCATGAACATTATTCGATACGTAATGTCGCGGAGAACCTTACGGGTTACCGGGGCTCCGGCTCGACGTGCAGGAGAAGGAACGGGGTGGTTTTTAATCAGTAAGAGTCTGACACTCCCTCCCGCCTCACCCACCGGGAGCAGTCATTCGATGATTTTTCCCCCCTTAAAAAAAATCCGATACGTAATCGAATGCTGCCATAAAAAAATATATTATTGGGTTGAAAATCGCAGAACTTTCAGGTTTATCAAAAAATTGCTACCCGATCTCTGTCAGTATGATACAATAGTACGCCCTATTTATTAGTAATTTGATCCAACAATTATTATTCTTTTCCAAATATACCTCCAAGTTAACTTATTTAAGAAATAGGGATCCTCTTTTATTTATTTAATGTTTTTGGACTTGTCTCTTACATTAACACATTAAACGCCGCGGGGGTCACCGGTGACGGACGTTAACGGAGAATTTGCCTATAACAATTTTCTATTGGCAGTCAAAGGCTTAATGAATATTTCAGTGTCAGGTTCTTGCTAGGTATCTTAAGGTAATCCTCAATAATGTTTGACGTCATTAAAAATTAATGACCGACTCAAAACATTACTATTTTTACCCTGTTCATTAGACCAATGACTGATGAGAGAACGTACTACAATGACAATGATATAATTGACGAGTATATTCAGTGACCTTCCAAAAACTTTATCATTAGTACTTGGCCGTTGATGGAAGCGAGCTCGAACTGGATATCAGCTCCCGAATCTAGATTAAATGGCTTATTTGAGAAGATTGGAGTTAAGTGTTAAGTTTTAGTTTCGTGACAAGTGTCTTAGCAAAGATGGGAATGATCTAAATCAATCACATAATCGTTGATATTAGGGATTATTTTGACCTAGTATTTTTACTATTGTGCAATTTTCGCAAGTGCGACTGCCGGGCAAGGGGTCTCATTTCGATTCCCGGGTCGGGCATAGTATTACTGGGTTTTTAAACTGTCAAACACCAAGCGGTCACCGGTGATCGCAACCTATTGTTCAATAATTGTGTCTACAAAACCGGTACTCGACGAGTTAAA